GATACTTAGCCCTGGTTTCCCCTGAGCCCAAGAGATTGCGGAGTGTGCAGAACTGATGAAAACCTAATATTGGATAAGAATGGTTTTTATTTTAATAATTGAAACAAGACAAGTACTAGGGGAAGGATGAATCTGGGAAGTTTATGTATAGAAATTAGCCAATATCTGTAAACAGATCAACCAACTAACAAAGACAATGGGACAGAAAAAAGGAAAATTACTTAAAATTACTGAAATGAGCCAACCTACACTGAAAATAAATAAAATGCATCAAAACGGCTGTCTTGACTTTTTGAGACATATCTGGCCTTCCTCTGACTGGTTCCAATTCTCTCAGGCTTCTAAGCCCAGTTGGGAAGCTGCCCTCACAGCATTGCTGCTTTCAGGAATTGCAGCCCAAGTGTTGCTAAGACTAACAAAAACAAAATTGAGCTTGGATCTCACCCACCACTTGTTTCTCATTGGAAAGGACTCTATATTTAATAAAATACTTGGTTGACAACCAGGTTGCTAGATCTGTGGCACTTTCTTTGTAAGCACTTTATTTTTCTGGGAAGCAAATATTTTTCATTATCCCAATAATCATCTCCCTGATAAGTTTGGGAAGTGAAAGAAATAAATCTGCTTTTTCTTAGTCTCTAGTCCTTCAGTTTTGCACTGGGATGACAATTCCCAATCTGCATGACCAACAGCCAATTGTTATGGGTTCCAGGGTTTGGTGAAAAAGACTCCAAAGTACAGCTTTCTTGCACCTTGAAGCAAAGACCTCTTAAGAACTGATGAAAAGGGAATTGCCTATTTTGATTGAAGGTCAACTAGTCAAATAAGTTTGCTGATATAACATATCAGCAAACTTATTTGCTGATATAACATATCAGCAAACCAACAAAAGAATTTCCAGTGGGTTTTTATTCAGTTTTTGGAGAAAGACAATGGCAAGAGAATGACATGGGGAATGTTTAAGAAGCATGGAGTCTGAGCAGGGATTGAGGAAGTGGGCAAAACTATTTTCCCTTCCTGGAAAAAGTACTTTAATGCACCTAGGGCAGCAATATGTTAATACAGCAAATTCCTCACCTTTTGTTTATTCTCTTGCCCCATATAAACAGATTACCGGAAGTGTCATCACTCAAACAATCTTCTTCCAGTTTGAAAAACAGAGAAATATAATGACCTTTCCATTTGAAAGGCAAAGAATGGTAAGCAAGTACTAACATGCCCGAAACATTTCACCACTTAAAACTGGGGTAGTAAGTATGTAAAAATACTCTCTTTTTCCCCACTTGAGACCCATCAATCACTTCACAATGACTGTTCATTGCAATCCTTTAGATTACACCAGGAAGGAGAAAACTGTAGCTTTCCAATTTTTTGAAATTATAGTAGTGTCTATCGCAACTATAGTAACAGACATCTAGAACTCATCAGCTCCCCAAATTTAATAGAAGCAAACCCCACTGAAGCCAATGGGATTTACTTCCAAGTAAGTGACTGCAAATTTGCAGTCATAGCCATAGCTTCAAACCAGGGGTCTTCAAACCATCTTTTAGCCCAGAGTATTGTGGGAGCTTGGTTCTTGGGGTGAGTTTACAGTTCAGTATACCACTTGGACCAAGAAAACTGGATTAATCACACAGCAAAATAATTTGAAAACAAATAAGTATGTCATATGAATAATCCCAATGAATATTATGTATTATCATCTTTAAATCTCAGCTCAGTCATTGGGAATTATAATATCTTTCATGTTGGCACAATTTTTTTTTACTTCTTACAATGCTATTGTAGGAAAAAATCCAAGATTTTTTAATGCAAGATTGAAACTATGCTTTCTGCCAAATGTGGCACAAGGTTTCCATTCCCACAAGTTTGAAGAGAGAGAGGAACACCTGCCACAAAGATGTTTGTGTGAATGGTGCTATTTATTTTGATGGACCGGGTATTGTGTGGTAGTTACAGATAATTAAAGTATCTATTTATTAGGAAATAAAAAGTCCAACTAACTGCACTCCAGCAAGGAGAAAGAAAAATGTGTGCAAGTTTCTACAGTGCAGATGTTATCTTAACATTCAAATTATCTCAGCTGGAAATCAAGTGGAAATAAGGATGCTGTAGTAATTTTATTCCTTCCGTGAGAGAAAGGAATACGGTAATCTGCATTTAATAGGCTCTCAAATCCAGTGCTGGTTACTTGCTCACTCCTGAAATCCCACAGTATTCAATTTGATATTCACTCTCACTTAAGTGTGATTATAAAGCATACCTGAACGCCCTTTTCTGAAATTAATTAGATAAGGTCTTGGAGAATATAATGACCCTACCAATTTAGTTTATTTTTATACTGTTTTAATTGTCAACAATTGCCTCAATGAGTGATAGTCATTATCAAGTCATAAGTAATTTGATTTTTAAGAAAAGAAAATGAAGACAATCTAATAATTATTTTGTAATTATAATTGTTAATTATTCTATAATTGTGAATATATGTAGTTCAGGGTTGAATTATGGTATCTTTGGTGTTTGACATGATTTGTTTGCTTGCAGACGTTTCATTACCCCATTAGGTATCGTTATCCTATAAATGTGTAGCAGCAAGACTTGATGGAGGAAGTCTTCATTTGGGACCGCAGTATCTATATTTTAGTTAGGATTTGTTGTGATTCAATATTTGGTTTCACTGTTGATTTCTGCTGTATTCGAATTCTGTTTGAGGATGCATAAGCATAGTAAAAGTAAAGACATAAGGAAAGTCATTTCCGATAATTAGATATAGTGGTTTCCGTAGTGTAGTGGTTATCACGTTCGCCTAACACGCGAAAGGTCCCCGGTTCGAAACCGGGCGGAAACATTTTAATCTCCAAAAGTATTAGATCCAGATTAGACACGTGGGGATTTTATAATTAATTTATTCAATGTTCTTTCAAAGGTAATTTATAATGGACAGAAATTGCTTAACAATGGGCTTTCCCTCAAATAAATAACTTGTTGCAATACATTTGCTTTTAATATTTACTACACATGGTCCCAACGGCTAGGAAGAATAACTTTTTTTAAAAAAGGATAACTTAAAAAAAAAACCGTGCAGCGTTCTAATATTGCAACAGTGCGGTTTTGAAATAACTGTTTATTACTTTTGTTTCCGACTTGGCGGCCTAAAAGTAAGAGTAATGGTTTTATGTACCTATGACTAATGCGCGTTCCTCTTTCTAGATGTACTATAGGCATTCCAAAGATTCTTATAACACATTGTACTTAATTTCCACTTTGTCCGGCCATATTTTTCTACAAAGTCATTCGCACCTCCTAAAAATTAATAGTTTATGGCGCTAGACATCATGGGAAATGTAGTTTATACTATGGAAACGCCCATTCCCTACGTAATTAAGCTCCGCCCCGGTTTCAACCGCAACCATCGCCACTCTTTCGTGGCTGGAATTGTCCCGCGAACGGAAGTGAGCCATCAACCAAGGGGGCGGAGCCAATAGCGTCATCACAAAATGGCGCCCTGAGCGGAAGAGGCTTCCGCTCTCGCGTTGCCACCGCTGCCAGGTGTGTTTGCCTAGTAATTCTGAAGGGAGGGAGGGGGGGAAAGGAAGCGGGCTAGGACGGAACCATTTGGGCTGGATGGCGGGGGGGGAGGGGAAAGAGAAGGAATACCCGGGCTTGCTGGAGAAAAGTCCGAAGGACCGAGGAGAAGAAGTGGGTGGGAGGTAGCCCAGCCGGCGGACGTGTGTGACAGGAGCGAGCCGGCAGTCGGGGAGGTCAAATTTGGACCAGAGGAGCTCTTCCCCCCTCAGCCAACTCCTCAGGCAAAAGGGAAAGCTGAAAAGATGCTGGTGCCAGTTGCTGTTCTGCTCTTGCAGAGTGGTTTTGCCCCAGGAGGTGCCCTCTGCAGCATTGCCCCAAAACTCCCCATCATCCCCGCCTCCCCCGCAATGTATTAGTTATTAGGAAAGGCATCCTGTCTCCCCAGGGACCCCATGCAGTTGCACCCCTTAAGAGCCTTATGGGGAAGTTCGGGAGAGGAAGGGCGACTGAGCCCAACTCACCCAATCTGGGTCTCTCCAGTCCTGGTCCAACTTTCCACTCCATATAGATTGATTAGATTAATAACACAATCCCACCTTTCCTCCTGCTCATCCTGCTCCCTTTCCCCCATCTGTTAGCTAGGGTGGCATATCCTATTTTTTGTAGTATTTTATTTGTATAGTTTTATCTTTTTAATATTGTAAGCCATCCAGAGTTACCCTGTGATAAGATGGATGGCCAGTAAATTTAATAAATAAATAGGTCACCTGTATAGATCTCTGTTAAGAACACCAAAAACTAAAGGTGTCTTTGGGGGAATGGAGAGGGTCCATGTGCTCACTGGCAGTCCAAATCACATTTTGCCCTTTTGTATCTGGATCCCTACACAAAGGCAGTGATATAATAACCCTTTGCATGAAATAGGAAGATTCTCAGTTGAGCTCTGCAACTGAGATATATCCTTAAGTTTGGCTTCTTGAATTCATTCTGCCAAATATACATGGGGTTGTGGGGAAAACTTGCTCTGATGATGCAGGAAATCTAATAAGGTACTCCTCTTATTCAGTTTCTGGTTAGCAACCAAAGAGTCCACTTTTCAAAATCTCTCATTGCGTTCTAAACAATGTTTAACCTGCTACCTTTTTGATGTGATTTAAATTTGCTTATTTTGGAAAGGGAATACTCATACTTTCTAGCACATCTTTTCTCAGCAAATGTTTTTGTGGGCTACAGCACCTGTGGGGACATTGTATTTGGCGAAGGAAATAGTTTTAGTTTTGTCTGAGCATTTTGCTTTTCTTCATAATAATTGGATTCTGTTGTCTTAATAATAGAAAAATAGTAAATAGAGACAAATCTTTGAATGAGGTTTGTGTTATTCCTTTTATTCTGCTGGAACTAGGGACCCCAATGCTTACATATTTGTTTTTCTTCTCAGGCCAAAGGGAAGAAGCTGTGCATCATTACGCAAAATGCAGTGTTCCCACCACTGCGAGCACCTACTGGAAAGTCTGAACAGGCAGCGTGAAGTGGGCTTTCTTTGTGACTGCACCATCATTATTGGTGAATTCCAGTTCAAAGCTCATCGAAATGTTCTTGCATCTTTTAGCGAATACTTTTGGGCTATTTACAGAGATACTTCAGAGAGTAATATATTTCTGGATCAGAATCAAGTGAAGGCTGATGGATTTCAGAAACTTTTGGAATTCATATACACAGGAGATTTAAACCTTGATAGGTATGGCTGGAGATTTATTTAGTGTTTAAAGGAAATACTAGACAGAGAACTACCGGTAAATAGAATGTTCTCGCTTAAGGTATAAATTACAATGTAAGTTAAGATGTCACAGAAGAGGAAACTAGTATATACAAGGTGATGTGCAATGTTACATAACAATTGATTTAATCCAATTTGCAAGCTCTTCATGGTACAAAATCCTCTGTTATAAGAGTGGTGTACTTAAAAAAATCAGTATTAAGGAAGTTGGGAGAAAATGTCTTGATTCAAGTGTCCTAATAAGCAACAGCTTAACAGATTGTATGACAACAGCTTGTTACAAGGAATTAGACCTGATACCCCTTGTTATGTATTTAGATATTAGATTTATACCCTGCCTTTGTTCAGAAGAAGCCAACTATATACTTGCTTCTCCTACTTGTCCCCACAAAGACCACTGTGGGAGGCAGTCTGAAGTCACCTGATGATCTTCCATGACTGAGAATAGATAGAACTTGAATCTTCCCACTTCTAGTCCTAATACTTTAATCACTACATCACTCTACCTCTCACAGAGGTGACTGAAGGAATAATTCAGTTAGTATCACTTGGTGAAATATAAAAAATGTTGGTGATTATTTTCTATTCAGCACATTTTTGTCGGCTAAACTGACTTCGATATTTTCAGGTTTAGAATTTGCCCAGTGGCCCATCTAAGCATTGGATCTCGTGTCTTAATATTTACCATATTTTTGTGTGGTAGTACTTCTGTTGTCTCATACTCTATGTCAGCTAAGGTCCAAAATTATGTTTGGTTCATCTGAATAACAGTAAATTAGACTGCATAGTTCAGATGAGTTGATTGGTATAATGGGGTTACATAGCAGTGACATAACTTTAAGACTGATGCTTATTTTTGTGATTTAATGGCCTTTCAAAAGAGGAAAAGGTAGCATGTTATAAGGCTCGTTTCTGATATAGATTTTTAAAATCTTGTTTAAAAATTGTATCAGTTTGCTCAATTTAATATTTATGCATTTTTAAGACCATCAGTTTTCTGCATATGGTACCTTTTTCTTGCAGTTGGAATGTTAAAGAAATTCACCAGGCTGCCGACTATCTTAAAGTGGAGGAAGTAGTCACTAAGTGTAAAATAAAAATGGAAGACTTTGCTTTTATTGCTAATCCTTCTTCTACAGAAACTTCTAGTATCACTGGGAATATTGCATTGAACCAACAGACTTGCCTGCTAACACTTCGTGACTACAATAACCACGAGAAATCAGATGCCCCTTCAGTGGATATAGCTCAGTCTCCGGTCTTAACAGCAGCCTTGGAAAAAAAATCAGTTCAACCCAAAAAACGGAAAAAGGCCTTCAGTTCCCCAAAACACCCACCAAGCAAGCCAGTACAATATCCAGGTGATGTTGCAGAAAACTCTGCCATGGAGATGTTTTTGGATGCGAATAAATTGGCCACCGAGATAACAGAACAAGCTGCTCAAGGAGGTGATAATTCTGAACTGCAACTTACCCCCGTGGTAGAGAGTGAAACTTTTGCTGCTCAAGAAATCCTTGTGCAGGCTATGGCTGTGAAGCCAAAAAAGGGCAAACCACATCAAAACTGTGCTCTGAAAGAGCACTGCTTATCTAACATCACCAGTGATAAGAACTCCTATCAGTTGGAGAGCTTGGGAGAAGACCTGGATCAGAAATACCCCAAGGCCAAGCCGGTGTGTAACACATGTGGGAAGGTATTTTCTGAATCTAGTAGCCTGAGACGGCACATGCGGATTCACAAGGGAGTCAAACCGTACGTGTGCCAGCTCTGCGGCAAGGCCTTTACACAGTGCAACCAGCTGAAAACGCATGTAAGAACTCACACAGGTAGGCTCTCTGTTTGGGTTTGGGGGTTACTTCTTGTCACAATGAGCAGGAAAGGTCACCCATCTTTCAAATAAATTCTTCCCTCCTTTCGCTAACTTGTGGTCAGTTATAATAACATAAGTAGAATTCAGTAACGTTCTAAATCTTCAGATTATTTTTTTTTCCAAGGAAGCAGGTATATCCTATCACAGTGGTGGCGAACCTATGGCACGCGTGCCAGAGGCGGCACTCAGAGCCCTCTCTGTGGGCACGCACACCATGCCCCAGAGATGGCAACCGTGTCTCTTCAACCAGCCGCCCATTAACTCGCTGAGGTCCCACAGGGCCGGATGCATCCCAACACCCATGCGCTCGCTGGCCTCTGTGTGCAGGGGCTGATGGTGTCAGGCAGCAGCCGTCCCGGCCCCTGCCTCACCTTTCCCTGTGACAATGGTACCCCCACCCTGCCTTACCTTGCCTCACCTCACCCCACAGGACGAGCCTCCTGCCCACCGCCCCACCTGCCAGAGACCCTCTGGATCTCCCCCAATCCTGCCCAGCCCCCACAGGTGTCCCTCCCCACGAGCAACATCAAGGTGACCACACCCACCTTGGCCACACCCACCCAATCTGCCATGACCACTACAGCCACGCCCACCTGGCACCTGGCGATAAATAAGTGGGTTTTGGGTTGCAATTTGGGCACTCGGTCTCTAAAAGGTTCGCCATCACTGTCCTATCAAATGAAACTAGAAATATCAGTATGTCTTTCTTCCATAAACTGCAAGGAGAGATAGAAAGTTTTACAAAATGTAATTTGTGGAAAGAAAGCTCAGTCCTGGGCATTTTGAAAGTAGATCTATTTGTCTTGATACTGATTTGTGAGCTATAGCCTTATTCTACCCTTTGTGTAAAATTTGTATCCCTTGTTTCTTGCCAGAACTATTCAGGCAGGGACATTATAAAAGTACTTTCAAGTAAGTAAAGCAAAAGTAAAGCAAAAAAAAAAAAATGTCCCACAATGCATTACAAAAACATAGTTAGAGCTTCTGCCCGATCTTTTTAAATAAAATGGTTTCTGGTTGCTGGTGCACAAGTTCTGGTTGACAGCGTAGACCTGCTTTGATGTAAGCAGTAAGTTTGTTTTTGCCATAATTGTAACAATGTTAGAGAATGTTACGGCTTCTGTGACGAGACAGTTGAGTGAAAGCACTGTGTCGCCCTGCGGTGTCACCCTTTACTTGTCTTGGAGATAAAACATTTACCTGGACAGGGCATGCGTGAGGCAGAAAGGCTTTAAAAAGGCTCATTCCAGAGAAGTTGGGGTGGCAACTGGGTGATGGTGTGTTGATGGCAGATCATGACATAGTGGTAGCTGAAGATTCGGTGTGGCGTAGTGGAAGAATGCTTAAGAACACCGAGGAAGAGGCTTGGGAAGAAAACTGAAGACTCAGTGAAGATAAGAGTACATACATTTTAGGTTGTGGGGCTTGATAAGGAGGAAGCAACCAGGCTCCAGAGCATAGTCTGGCTACTCAGCTTTAAAGCAGCAGCTGAAGTTTTAAAGAGGTTGTGGTGATACCAGAAAGATTGACCCCCCCAGTGAAGGAGAGGTCATAATTCCAAGGAGTTGACTGGTGTGAGTGACCAGTCTGCTCAGTCAAGGAGAAAACCTCCTGTTGTGCTTGGTTTTGGCAGCTGGCAAGCTCTCTCCAACGGGAAGAACCGTGACTAAGTGCCAACACCAGATCTGGTCCAAGCAGCAGCCACAAAACCAGCTCAGGCATCCAATCAGCCAAAGTCACGGCAGCTAGCAGTAAAAGAGAGTGATAGAATAGGAAAAATACAGAGAGCTCTTATATTGGTCCTGCCAAACTTGCTCTCAAGCAGTTGTCTCCTCGTCGTGATACCGGTAGTAACTGGCAAGGGCTGGACAAGGGAAGGGGGAGGCTAAGGTGCTAAGGCAGGGAGTCCCTAGGCCAGGAAACCTAGGAGAGAAGCCAAACGACAGAAAAGGAATACGGTAATGTCCTTCTTAGCTCTCTGTGAACCGAAAGACTGGCAAAGAGGGCTTCCTTTCTCACAGGCGGCGTTTTAGGAAGACATCCAAGGTCATGTTGCTTGGCTGGAAAGACAGGCCAGGTGCTAGCTGGATAGATGCCCAGAATCTAAAACTGAAAGCTGAAGACAGCTAGGAGGAAGGAGAGGTGAGAAAAAATCATTTTTCTTTTAGTATCACTATTGGCTGTAAACCAGTAGCTACCACTTCACCAGAAAAGGACTCCTTTAGACTGATCACTGTAAAAGAAAATCCACAACAGTTCCCCCCCCCCTTTTCTTGTAGGCTATGGAAGCTGTACTATGAAGCTCCTATGTACAGTATTTAAAGTCGTCTTTGTAAGTGATAGTGCGAGCTTGTCACAATTCCTTCCACTGGGTTTTTTTTTGGGGGGGGGGGTAAGGGTTATGTGACAATGAAGCCATATCTTTCTAAACAGTATTTTTGTCATACAAAAGAACTAGAACCAATGAATAAATAATTGGTGCTCTGAATTGTCTTTGCAGTAAACAGGGTGCAACTTTATGTTTGTGCAACTTTTAATGGTCAATGTTTTGAACCTTCTATTTGTTTTATACGGTTATTTATGATGTTATAAGCCACACAGAGTTGCTTGACAGTGAGATGGATGGCGTATATATGTAATGAATACATACATAAACTTGGAATGTCAAATCTGACTTGATAAACAATTGTGAAATCATGAAAGGAACACATACGCACACATACGCACCTACCTCTTCTTTCCTATTAAATGTGTAATCATTCCAAGACTCAGTGGAGTAAACAACATCTGAAAACGTTCAAGCCTTAATTAAGCAGAAAGACAATACCTAGAACTCCCGAACATTTGCTAAGAGGTTGATTTGTGGCAAAAAGTTTTCCAGCATTACACGGGCAGTTACAGCTAAATGATTTTGGATAATCAGGAAAAACATCTCTCCATTGCATCTATTACTGGCAATAGATCAAAGTGCTGTTATTTCTGGAATAAAGAGGGTTACCAGCCAAAGAGATGGACCTCTGCTAGGGTCTGAATGATGCCACCAGATGGGGTCCACTCTCTGAAATTCAGCCATATCTCGCTGTCTCTGTCCACAATTCCTTTTTGTCCAAAATGGAAAAAAAAATCTCTTTAGAAGGCATTGCTAAAGGAACATCTTAATTCTCTTCGCAGGTGAAAAGCCATACAAATGTGAACTCTGTGATAAAGGTTTTGTTCAAAAATGCCAGCTTGTTTTCCATAGCCGAATGCATCACGGAGAGGAGAAACCATACAAATGTGACGCCTGCAATCTGCAATTTGCAACTTCAAGTAATCTAAAAATCCATGCTAGGTGAGTGAATGAGCATCACCTGAAATGTGGCTAAATGTTTGCTGAAAAGCCACTGGTGCACTGATAGTATGTTTTACTTTTTTTAACCTTAGGAAACACAGTGGAGAGAAGCCATATGTCTGTGATCGATGTGGACAGCGATTTGCACAAGCAAGCACGTTGACTTACCACGTGCGACGACACACAGGAGAAAAGCCTTATGTCTGCGATACCTGTGGGAAAACTTTTGCAGTTTCAAGTTCACTCATCACTCACTCAAGAAAGCATACAGGTAATCCTGAAATAAATGAATTAGGGGAGACCTTACTGGGCTGATGGAGCTATTAAAAATGGAACCTGAAGGCATGATTTTTGCAAGGCAAACATGGATTCATGTGTCTTTGGCACTCACTAGGAAAGTATAACAGACTAAAAAGTTTGGAGACTTCTGATTAAGACCGTTCTATGTATCATAAATAGACTATGCTGCCTACATTAGACTGTAGGTCAGTGATGGCGAACCTTTTAGAGACCGAGTGCCCAAACTGCAACCCAAAACCACTTATGCATCGTCGCGTGCCGGGTGGGTGTGGCCCATTGGGTGGGCGTGCCCATTGGCTGGACGTGGCTGCGGTGGTAACAGCAGACTGGGTGGGACTAAAAAGTTCAATCAATCAATTCCAACTTTGCAAGATTTTTTTTTCCCACAAGAAGTTGAAATTGACTGATTGAACTTTTTTTTTTTTTTTGCACACGGTGGCGGAAGCCTAAAGCGAAAAGGTTTTATAAAACCCAGCTGAAGGCCTCGGACTGGGGCGACAGCACGCGTGCTCACAGAGAGGGCTCTGAGTGCCGCCTCAGGCACCCGTGCCATAGGTTCGCCACCACTGCTGTAGGTGAAAGGCATCATTTTCTGATAACTTATCACTTATTTTCTCTGCAGGAGAGAAACCTTATATATGTGGCATTTGTGGCAAAAGCTTCATTTCTTCAGGAGAACTTAACAAACACTTCCGGTCTCATACAGGTGAAATCTTAGACACGAGACTCCTAGTAAATTCATTACTTATGCATGAAATGTTGCTTAATGCTATCCTACTGCTCATTTGCTAAGTGGTGATTTCATCCCCCTTCCTGTTGAAATATCTATATTGGAATTTGGTGAGTCTGACTATAAATTTTGTTTTAAGGTGAAAGACCATTTATCTGTGAACTGTGTGGAAATTCCTATACAGATATCAAGAACCTAAAGAAACATAAATTGAAAGTTCATTCGGGTAAGCGGTCACTTTAATACCTAATGCTCGTATAGCCTAGAATATCAAAGCATTTGTTTAAAGAAATCTGAGTATCAGTCTTCTAAGCTAACCAAGTAAAATGCTGGATTTTGTTTTAATGACGTTCTGACATTCTCTATTGCTAATCTATCCCTGCATAAAATGTCAAAAGAAAACCAAGAAAACAAACTGGAACCAGGAAAAGAAAAACGGGCAGGAAAATATAAAAGTATTGCATCATGTTTTCAGTACTGCTTTTCTTTAGTTGAAAAGATTTTTTCCCCTCCTCTGTCCCTCTGTACTGTTTGTGCAGGTTAATCATTATTAGCTTTTTTTACGCAGGGCTGAATCTCAAGTAATTTGTAAAAACTAATTTCGTGTCTTTCCTTTCTTCTTACAAAAATCCATTATTCCAGTACTGGGTTACAATCAAATACTTGGAAGATTTAAGGTGATATCTGTGTCAGACATGTTCCTGCTGCCCGCCCACCCCTCAGCTACAATATGGGTCCTTGGGTATCTTTCTGGGTGTTGTGGTGGTTGTTCCAGAAGACAGTACAATTGTGTAGTATTTAGATACAGACATTTGAATGCTTAATATACCTGCAAAGATGTTACTGCTTTTCAGGTATACTGCTTTAAAAGTCTTTTATCTTCCTGCTACCTCTTTGCAATTATTTCATACAACCGAGGATCTCGGTCATCAGTGGATAGACCTTTATGACCGTTGCTGGAATCCTTAAAAACAAAATGTGAATTTCAAACTCTAGTTTTATCTGAAATTCACAGTGCGTTGCCCTAAATCAGGGATCCCCAACCCCCAGGCTGTGGCCCACTACTGGGCCTTGGCTCATTTGGAACTGGGCCATGGAAGCGTCGGGTAAGCTCATATAGCTCCATTTGTGCAAGCAGCGGGTTACATGTGCCCGTCGCTGGTACAAATGGTACTGCACTCTCACCAGCCACTTGCGTGTAACCATTCCCTTCCCCCCCCCCCCGTCGGTCCGCAAAGCCGGAAAGATTGTGGATCACTGCCCTAAATAGATAAAAGCCTATGAGCTGGAAAGTATTAGTTTACTAATAAAAGAGAATATTTGTAGCTCAGGGTTGACCTGAGGGGTCCTTGGTGCTCTCTGAGCTTGCTTGTTTTCTTGCAGATGTTTCATTACCCGAACTAGGTAACATCATCAGTGCTGGTAAGGAGTGCTGTTTGCTGTCAGTTTATATTCTAGTGGTTTGCCTGTCACTGTTGGTGGGGGTTGGCTTAGAGATTCTTTGGTTGGGTTATTTGCTATTGGCTTCTTTGGCACTTTCTTGACTGGGGCATTGCTTATTTGACTGTTGGCCCGAAGTTGACCTTGGAGTTAATCTATGCTGATCTGGGTGCTGATTGCTGGTGGAGAGGTGCTTGGGTGTTTTTGTTCTTTTTTGGGCTGGGTGATAGTCTCTTTTGCATAGTCTATAGATGTTGTTAATGTCTATGTGTCCATTGATGGCTGATTTGTCAAAGTACCAGGCTTCTAGAAATTCCCTGGCGTTTTTGGACTTGGCTTAGTCTAAGACAGTGATGGCGAACCTTTTAGAGACTGAGTGCCCCGAATTCACCCCCCCACACACTCCTGTCCCTGCTCCGCCGTGCCCGCTGGGCCTACTTCACGGCCCACCACAGATCACCCAGGCAGCCCAGCAGCGCCATGGCGGCCATGCCCTCTGGCCATGCCCCGCAGCATCATCTGTGCGCGATGTGGCACAAGGGCGGAGTCTTGTCCCCACTGCCCGGCTACCATGTCCTTGGCTGTGCTGCTTTGTGTGGGCCATGCCCGGGGGTGACTCTTCTCCAGGGGGCTGCTGGTGAGGAGGGGGCCGTGGGAGGAGGTAGGGCTGGGGCGACGGTATGTGTGCCCACAGAGAGGGCTCCGAGTGCCGCCTCTGGCACGCGTGCCATAAGTTCGCCACCACTGGTCTAGGATGTTCATATTTTCCCAATTGAGACTATGATTAAAGCTGTCTACATGTTTTGAAATTAAAGAATTTCCATCATGTCTTCTGACTGCTAGTTGATGTTTGTGGGTGCGTTTTGCCAATCTTCTGCCTGTTTGTCCTACATAGTGGTTGTTGCAGTCCTTACACTGTACGTTGTAGATGACTCCTGTTTTTTCTTCTGGGGTTGCTGGGTCTTTTGGTCTGCTTAGGATATTTTGAAGGGCTTTAGTTGGCCTGTGTGCTATGCTGATTCCATGTGTTTGTAAGAGTCAGTTGGTGGTTTCTGAGATATTCTTGATGTGTGGCAGTGTAATTCTTTTTAGGGTTTGTGTTGGCTGTGCTGTATTGGGTTGAGTGGTCAGGGACTTTTTGATAAAGTTGCATGGGTGTCGGTTTTGTTAGAATATGTTGTATACATGCTCTTTCCTTTTTCTGCTGTTCTGGGTTGCTGCAGTGACCTTACGCAACTTCTCTTGTGGGGGTTGGGTTGTTGCTTTGGTAGTGGAGCATCTGGTTAGTATGGGTGGTTTTTCTGTAGACTTGTGTTTCTAGTTTGCCAGAAGGCATGATGAAAATTCTTTAATTTCACAACATATAGACAGATGTAACCATAGTTTCAGTTGGGATTTTTGATGAAGATCTAGAAGAGCCTTTCCTCAGTAACACTTTTTTAAAAAAGAGAGGCAGTGTGCCTCAGTGGTTAAAGTCTTAGACTGGCACCAGAGAGCTCCAGGTTCTAGCCGGTCCTAAGCCACAGAAACTGAGTGGATGATTTGGGACCGGTTGCTCTCTCAACTCAACCTCTCCCATAGGAATGTGGCTGTGTGGAAAAACAGAAGAAGGAGCACTAGGGTGTGCTGCCTTGAGCTCCTGAAGTTAGTGCCAGTAGCTATGCTAGCTTTTATGGGGATTGATTGAGAAGTAAAGGGAAACAACTTTTTCAGATATTCTTCTAAATCTAGAAGCTAATTGCTATGCTAGGTGTTGCTGGATGTTGGTCATTACCTACAAAGCCTATATATCACATCAGTCCATCCTGCTCATTCAGGCAGGGAAAACATGCTACGGACCCTGTCAATCAGAGAATTCTGACCGGTAGGGTCAAGGAAGAGGGTCTTTTCTGCCGCTGCCCCTGCTTTGTGAAACATCTTGCCCTCAGATGTTGGCTTTCCACAAAGAGGTCAAAACCTAGCTGTGTAGCCTTGCCAGGAGAACCCCTCCTTCCGCCTGTATTAACAACTCTTAGTCTCCCCATCTTCGATCTCTCCATCTCTTGCAGTTTTATAACACTGTTTTACATTTAAAAATTTTTAATCTTAAATTATTTGGTTGAAATGTTTTATTGTATTGATTAAATTGTACACTGGTCAGAGCTCCTCTGGGAGGGAGATGGGTGGTTAAGAAGTTTGATACACACACACACGTGCGCGCACACACACACACTTACTCCTGTTTTTTCTTCTGGGGTTGCTGGGCCCTTCAAAATATCCTAAGCAGACCAAAACACCCAGCAGCCCCAGAAGAAAAAACAGAAGTCATTGTCAACGCTGCTAACATCGGATGTTCTTGCTTTGACAACAGATGGAAATGCAGCCATTTTTCTCTATTGCTTTTAGAGTTAGTTGATGCTGGGAGGGGGAATGTGGATGAGAGTCCAGCTAGTCTTAATAATAACTCAGCCGTGGGAACCCAAGGTCATTGGGCCCAGAGTTGATAGAGTTTTGGCGGGCTGGGGAGCTGGGGAATTTATGATTGTTTATTGGAGGAGGGAATTGTGCTTTGCTACTTTGTATCCAGGGGAGGGGAATTTAGTTTTCAGTTTCTACTATGTAGTGCCGATACTTTGTTTCTTGAATAAAAGATTCTTTAAGATAAACAATGCCTCAAAGTTCTTTTGAAGAGTTTCATCTGTCGGAACCATGACAGTCAGTGTATGTGCGTGTGTGTGTAAGTGTATGTGGGTGTATAAAATATAAATAAATATAAATATAAAATAAATATAAATATAATATAAATCTATTGTTACTTGGGCCCATATTACATGGTATAAATTAAATAGCTCTTTATTTTCGAGAGTAATTCTTCAGTTTTGTTTGACTTTTCAGACCCCGAGTTCCCTTTGGATTCCATTGCACTTGACCCTTCCTTCAGCGAGCAAGATTCAATTCCAAGTGAGAAAAGCCTTTTGCTGGAGTCTGCTGATGTGAAGCCTTCAGACATATTGCCTCTGCCCATTGGAACAGAGGACCATCAGCTATTACTGCCTGTCACGGATGGTCAGTCTCCCCCATCCGACACACTCCTGAGATCTACCATCACAGGATATTCAGAACCTCAGTTTATTTTCCTCCAGCAATTGTACTGACAAGTGTGAGTGATGAAAACTCTAGGAATGCAAGCATCTCTTATATCAAAAGGAGCTGTGGGTAAGTTAGATTTCATCTCAGACTAGGGACTTTGAGTGATGCATCTTTGCTTTGAGTTCAGCTTTTCTCTAATATTTTGTTACTCTAGAACAAAGATTGTGTATTTTCACCTGAAAGAATCAAGATTGCATTTTCTAGGAGATAAAAAAAAATCTTTTGTTTTTCTTCAACATCTGCCTTAAGAATTCTAAACCATTTAATACGGGGAAGATCCTTCAGTGTTCATGCAGAAACTAAGCCAAGGTATTCAAACTAAAAACATTGAACTGAAATAAGGGAAGAGTCTTTTTAAACTTTAAATGACTTAGCTTTTGAAGTAAACAAACCCGACAATAATTGAAAGCAACTCTGAAAACAGCCAATATAGATGCAGCAGCTGCCCAGTATGTTCCATGGAGTGTTGCACATACAACTGGATGCCAATGAACAAAAGATGGGGGAGTTGTCCCATTTCCAAGATGTCAACTTTTCTGTCATGGACAGTAAGGATCTTGGGACAGAGGATGCTATCTGAAGAAGATGCTGTTTCTCCAGAAGCAGAGATAAATTTGAATGAGGGATTAAGTCATTGGATATAGAAAGCTGCAACAATGACTACTATTTAGACCACCAGATGAATTTCTTATCTAAAAGAGAAATTTGCAAAGTTGCCTATATCAGCTAAATAGCCTGATAAGTTATTATCAGTGATTCTGCTATGTGTTGGCTCCATCGATAATGAATAATATAATTATAATGTCCTTGAAGTCAGATTTCAGGTCTTAGGGATAAAATTCAAAGCTAGAATCACCCAAAGTAATTTTTTTCTGACTTGCTACCTATTCTATACGGATTCAGATAGTCCGATTACTTGGTTCCAGTTTCAGATATCCCGGGCTTGAAAACTTTGGAATGGCTTGGTTACAGATTTAAGAAAAGCTCTTCTGGTTTATCAGTATTCTCGCAAAAGTTAGTAGCTTTCTGAGAAGATTGTTAGTTTGTTCTGTCATGTTAGTTGTAGAAAAAGAATTTTATTTCCTCCGTAGCTTCAGAAAAATGAAGAAGAAGAAATATTTATAATCCATCTTTTCTCTGGCAAACTATTTGATCACTGCTGTGGAAATATTTGTGCTCACCTAGTTTAAAATTTTGAGCGGTTCATGCATACCAAATCAGTTTCTAAATACATAGCTGAATTCTGATCTATCCTTTCTGATGGATTATAAAATCTTTGCACAACAGGAGCTGCCCCAAACCCTATATAATATCCACACTGATCATTTCTATACTGCTAAAGGCATGTTGGGTTCTTTTTCTTTCTTTTTCTTAAAAAGCAATTCCCTTCCAGTTGAAATTCTTAGCAACAATTCAATGCAAGCTCTAGAAGTTGTTCCTTCCCATTTCCACAGAAGAGTCAAAAATGACAAATCTTTTTTTAGCTCTTGTTGGCAGTTACGTTTTTCATTAAGTAATACCAAGTGTTTCTGTGAGGAGGTGCCAAGTGGCCGACTATTTTTTTCAGTCACTCCTTGCCAAAATATACATGTGCTTTAAGGAGCTCTGCATTGTAAAAGAATTAACCTGCTAGTTTCCACCAAAGATTCAGTTTATTTAGAATTCTGTCTTCATGTTTTGACTAGGAGGTGCTGTTAAGGAATTGCTGATAAGTACATGTTTAAAAAAAGGGCTGATAAGTTGACATTAAACAGAGTACGAACTTAAACATGTGAAATTACGTTCAAACTCCTAAGAAACAACAAAAAAGGAAAACTTAGCTGTACCATTCCGCTCACTTTCCTTATTTTTCTTTGTAGACCTTAGGAAATACAAGCCAGGAATATTGAAAGAGATGGAGAAATGTTTGAATAGGATTCCATTCTTTTACAAATTTATTCAATGGAGCAAATGCAAATTCATTGTGTCATAAGAAAAAGTACATTTATTAAATGTATAGTAGTTTTAGCACTAACACAACCTGTACCCTCTCTCTGACAACTATATCAAATTCAAATTCTGATTTGGCTAAGATTTGTAGTACCCACTTAGATAGGCTTATGTAGGTGTATGGTATTATGCGCAAAACTAAATATAATCCAGTAACTAGGAATCCAGATTGAACTATATTCCTTACATTGCATAATTTTAAAGGAACCAATACATTTTGCCCTCCAGTTCCTGTAGGCAAGAGGTCTTTAAAAGCTGTGCTGTGTGGTAACAGAGCTATATCCCAATTATTGAATCTGGGAGTTTTTAGAACTGTATGCGAAGGATGAACATTGCCATTGTATGTGAATATCATTGCGCAGACATTTGGCACGAGTAAGACCTAGAAAAAGAGAAAGAGTTTAAAAGGCATCTCCGTGCATTTTTCAGGACCAGGAGAGCTAGAGACTCAGTAATTCTGATTTTAGGAACCATGTTCCTAGCCCAGTGGTGGCGAACCTATGGCACGGGTGCCAGAGGCGGCACTCAGAGCCCTCTCTGTGGGCATGCACACCATCGCCCCAGTCCTAGGCCTTCAGCTGGGTTTTATAAAACCTTTTCACTTTAGGCCTCCGCCGCCGTGTACAAAAAAAAAAAAAGTTCAATCAATCAGTCAATTTAAAAAAAAAAGAAAAAAAGATCTTGCAAAGTTGGAGTTGATTGACTGAACTTTTTAGTCCCACCCAGTCTGCCGTTACCACTGCAGCCATGCCCATCCAATGGGCCACACCCAGCCAATGGGCCACACCCATCTGGCACTTGATGATGCATAAGTGGGTTTTGGGTTACAGTTTGGGCACTCGGTCTCTAAAAGGTTCGCCATCACTGTCCTAGCCTGAGGTGCTTGCTTGGTAAATCCAATAATCTATTCCTGAATCTTCAAAAAAATAAGAAGGATTTTGCTCTTAGTAACAGCAGCCAAATTGCTGTCCTAATGAACATCAACCCTCCCCCCAGTACCCAAGAACATAATTAGCATTGTTAGATTCATTTAGAACAGTGTTTCTCAACCTTGACCATTTTAAGGCATGTGGACTTCAACTCCCAGAATTCCACAGCCAGCATTGCTGGCTGTGGAATTCTGGGAGTTGAAGTCCACATGCCTTAAAATGGTCAAGGTTGAGAAACACTGATTTAGAAGTTACAGTTTAAGGAAGAGGGAAAGGAGAGTTATCTCTGTGAGGTTTGGCAACCACTCCCCATTTTTTTTGAAGATGGAGAGAACCTGGTTATTTTTTCTTCTGATAGATATTTTTTCTGATACACAACCTGACTTTTGTGGTATAATTTTGCTTAGTGCTGGTGATACTAAGCTTCAGTTAGCACAAAACCAAATCTGAAAAGTGTATGAAGATACTTTTGGGGTATACTTCTTTGTAATATCATTGTAAACTACGTTCTAGGGAAAACAGGTGATTTGGGTCACTCTTGAATATTGTTTCAGAATTCCAAAAATCTTGCCCCAGGGGTTTTTATTGGATTGTATTTGACTATTTAATATTTATATGTTTTTTTTTCCTTTCTACGGTTTGTGGTTTGTACATGAAGCAATTTTTTAAAAGACCATTTTTATCTTATACACTACATAGGCTCTGGGAGAGCTGAAAATTATTGCAGCAATAACTGAATATACAACCTTTTTTTCCAGTTTGAAGTTTCTACTGTGATACTTGGAAAATTTGGACAGTTGAGTGATACCTTTTTCACAAATCATGGTTTCTGCTGGTATTAAAAGTACTAGCTGCAAGGATTTGCTGGATACTATAGGGATTATGTCACAAAAAGGGGTATGCTACATTTTGTGCATAAAACCTCCCTCTCTAGTTTGTGTGGGGGGGGGAGATAGAAGGAAGAGCCAACTGCATTTTGGACTTACACTAACCTTCCGGTTGATGACCAGTTATTTGCTGTGATTCACCAACCATTAAACAGAGATTTTGATGCTGATGTGGAATGCTGCCTTCATGAAGAAAAGGGATATTCAGACCTTTCCTTCATCTGTATGTTGAGCTCTTGGCTGACAATGTGATTTTTGCCACATGACAGTCGCACAATTGTGGGCGTTCTGAAGACTTTTCTGACTCACCCCCCCCCCTCCAGTTTAAATTATTTCTGAAATATTTTTCTCACGTATTTACAAATCTTTTTTGTTCATGGGTATATATGTATGTATGTGTAGCTGACTTCCTGTTTTTGTACATCCCTCCGAGGGTATAACGTACATAGGTTGCAATATTTTAATGTTAGATTTGAATAAACTGGTTTTGTAACACTTCTGGGCTCTGCCCTCCTATTGTTGCTTGGGACACAAAGAGACACAGAAGAGTGATTTGAAAAAGCTTCATTCCAGAATGATCACTGACCTAAACATGAAACAAACCAAGCAAGGATTTTAGGATAATTGGTTTGGGTGGTTTGGGCTGTTAATGGGCTTCTTTTAACTCCATCTATAGCAGTGCCAAGAGTGTTAAAATAAATAGCCAGTTGGCTACGAAATATTGCTCTCATGCTTTGAGGCCAAACTATTGAGAGATGCTGCCTTACTGAAAGCTCACAGTTAAACAAACTGCAGCGTAACTGTGCACAGGATGCTGTTGCAAATTGTTCGTCTGTAACTCCTAAGGGATTGATTGATGAGTACTTTGGCTACCCTACTTGTGGAGCATCCATGTACACTTGGAAGTAACTGGCTTAGGTGACAGTGTTTTTTCTACTGTCACTGCTAAATGGGCCATGTTTGCTGATACAGGTAGCAGAAAAAAGTGACTTATGACCATTTTTCACACATATGACTGTTCCAGCATTCCCATGGTCTCGTGATTTACATTTGGATGCTTGACAGTTAGTTCATATTTATGACAGATGTCGTGTCCCCGGGGTCCTGTGATCATCTTTGCAACTGTCTGACAAGCAAAGTCAATGGGGAAGCCAGGTTCACTTAACAACAACCAAGTGTTATATAAGTCTAAGTGCTATTGCTGTCAAACTGCAGTTAATCCTCAGTTTACAATCATTCATTTAGCAACCGTTCAAAGTTACAATGGCACTGACAAAAGTGACAACTAGTCCTTGTATTTAAGACTTGCAGCATCCCTGCCGTCACACTGATCATAATTGGGATGCTTGGCAACCAGCATTATTTATGATAGTGGGAGTATCCTGAATCATGGGATCATCATTTGCCATTCTGCCAACAAGCAAAAGTTGGTGGGGGGAAGCCGGATTCATGTAACACCTTACAAATAAATTAACAAGATTCGCTTAACCACCATGCCAAAAGGGTCATAAAATCAGGCGTAACTCACTTAATGACATCACTTAGTGAAGGAAGTTCAGGTCCCATTGTGGTCATATGTTAAGGACTACCTATATACTTAAGTATATACTACCTATATACTTAAGAAGCACAAATTATACCAATAGAAGTAAGATTGCAGAAGAGTTGCTCTTTTTAGTCTTAATGCCTCAATTTGATGAAGCCTTCCCTCTCAAGCTCATTGTGACATTATGACACCCAATCTAACTGATGAATACTTAGAAGTATACATCAGTTTTGAGGAAGATTAGGAACACAATACATGTGCTTTACACGTCACTGTTTCGTACTTCTGTCAATCTGTGATTCAGGAAAATACCTTTAAATATATCATTTCAGGGAACAGACCATGTTTTTCAGACTGAAATAGACTATCATATTTTATCATTTCAGCAGCTGATTCTGAAATGACTGGTGTTCTTACTCACAATGTAACAATCCGAGATGTATTATTATCACCTTTTTTAGAAGTTATGATAAAAAATTCACACCAATGCATAAAGAAAGATTACACCCTGCATTGTTTCTCTTCTCACTTTTAATAAAATGCATTAACTTACAGATATGTTAATGTAATTTATTGAAATATCCTAAAGATTTTAACATTGGAATCGTATTACACATGCGCTATTAGATTCACTCAGCTGGGTTTATGTCCAAGAAATCCACTCGAGAGTTTAAATCCTATAAAAACCATATTTATGATAATTACAACATACACACAAATACAAAAGCTACAGAATAAATGCTTTCAAGCAGATTAGCTATTGCTGGATTGAGACACAACTATTGAAATAAATCAGATTCCCAGCATTGATTGTTGTGATTATGATACAAACACCTGAAAAAGTGCTCACATGTGTTAATGCAAGGCACACATGAAAACACTCCTGAAAAGGGGGGGGGGGAATTATATTCATAAATATTCTGTAACAGGATTTATTGCTAAAGATGCGTTTTCATGTTTGTTATCTGGTTCTCCATAACTTGGTGTCCAGTAGTAATGCCGCTTAAGGCCATGGGAGACTTCAGCAAGATATATACGTCCATCCACTTCATATGGTTCAACATCTGTTCCGGTTGGCTTCAAACGGCCACTTTGAAGCAATTCTGCAAATGCCTGAAAAACACAGTATATGAAGTTGACCACTTTTGCAATAAATAGTGGCACAGGAATACTTTCAGTAAGAAAATAAAATGAAGAATGCAGCATACAGTATATGGCCACGAAACGTGGATGTAGTGGGTAGAAAGAGAAATCTTGAGGGACAAGCGGAAGACTGCCACAAAGCGGTCAAATGAAAGTAGAATATACTGTAGAACATAATAGGTTGGAAGGCACTTTGGAGGTCTTCTAGTCCATCCTCCTGCTCAAGCAGGAGACTATACCATTCTGGACACATGGTTGTCCAATCTCTTGAAAACCTCCACTAATGGAGCACCCACAACCTTTGGAGGTAAGCCTTATTAATTTCTCTTTAGTTCTAGGTTGGATTTTTCTTTAATGATCTTCCACTTGTTACTTCTTGTCCTGCTCTCAGACTCTTGAAGAATCATTCAACCTCTTCATCTCTGTGACAGCCCCTCAAGTATTGAAAGATAGTTATCATGTCACCTCTAGTCCCCTTTGACTAGACATACCCAGTTCTCTCAACCATTCATCCTACTGTTTAGCCTCCACCCTCTAAACTTTGTTCTCCTCTACATTCATTCTAGGGTCTCAACGTCTTTTTTGTATCATAGTGATCAAGTAACTTGAGTCCAGAGCAGAACTGTAACCTGAGAAAACGTCAGGTTGACCCTCCTTAAATTCTCACAAAGATGAGGAGGGAAGAAGCGCACTCAGACTTCCAAAATTTTGTTATACATAAACTTAAAAGTAGTTTTGGCCTGCATGGCTTTGGTTTCCTACTCTGAAGGGCTGCTAGTGGTGGAGAACTGAACCATTCTTCCACACCATGTCTGCCTGGTCATCTCAAATCAAGACCATCACCTTATATGCTTTTCCAACCCAGGACAAATGGACATTGCAGAAAGAATCAGTGAGTAAGTGAAGATATTGTGCTGTTTTCTCTGCACTGAAGCCAGATCTACACCAACCTCACTCACTTGCAATCCTGGCTGCCCTTTCCTTAAAAAAAAGATAATGATTATCTTATTAATTGACAATAATGTCACCTGTTGGAAATAGATGGAATAATAGAACAAAATGCAGAAGATAATCCCTACTGGGGGCATTATACCAGGGGTAGTCAATCTTGGCTCTTTTATGACTCGTGGACTTCAATTCCCAGAATTCCTGAGCCCAGGAGCTTAGCTGGCCCAGGAATTCTGGGAGTTGAAGTCCACGAGTCATAAAAGAGCCAAGGTTGACTACCCCTGCATTTATACCATCCATATTTTGGCAGACTAGAGATAAAGGAAGAAGAGAAAGGAGAAGACAAGGTATGAAAGGAAGATGATTGCCAGAAAATATATCTGATTGTCATATGCTGGGCTACATTTCAGTGGAAGAGTTCAAAAAGTTTTTTTAAAAAATAGGTTTTGTATCAGGTGAGTAGAGCTTCTCCCCCTGGGCAAGGTTATAAAAACAGGGTTAGAATGGTGGGATACACCCATTAAGCAATATTTTATTATAACCCTCTTATTTAAAAAATATTTGTCTGCATTATATGCAACAAGAGGAAAAAAAAAAAGAGGGCCACCATATATACACACACAAAGAGAACCAATCTATATTTCATCACTCAGTTAAATGACAATTGCTGGCTTGGTTGTTTAATTTCCCATTTTTCATATTATTAAACTAGCTGTACCCGGCCACACGTTGCTGTGGCTCAGTCTGGTTAAACGGAAAAGAAAGAAAAGAGAAAGCGCACGTTTGTAATATGTTTAATTTCACAATGCTACCGTGTGTTGCTTTTACGTCCAACAGATGGCGCTGTTTTTCAAAAACATGTTTTTACCTGTCACAGGTGTGACATCTATATATAATAGTAGGTATATAAAAACACGCGCGTATTCAAATGCAACATTGTGTCAAAATTTCAAAGCAATCGGTGAAGAACTTTCGGAGATTTAAGATTTTGAACGAACAAACATTTACATTTTTATTTATATAGATAAACTGACTTAAATGAGTTTCTTTAATAATATAAAAAAATGGGAAACACGGAAGTGGGCAAATGTCATTTAAAAGTTGTAAACCGCTCTTCTCATGGGGCTGCTTGGACTGAAATGCCCATTGAGAAAGCCTCAATGGCTGTGTTCAGACAGCTCCTTCACCTAAAGAAGCACAACCTGGGTTTATGCAATGTGTGAACCCAATCTATTGCCCAAATGTCAGTTGTCACCAGAAAGGAGAACAAGATGTTTGTCTTTAAGTAACAGGTGGCAACACCATCCTTTCTCTACAAGGGGCTGGCAGATGGAATTGCTTTACAAGTGATGCAAGATGACTGTTACGAAGGACAACTAGTTCATTATATCTGAAGAAACCTCTGAGTAGACAGGCATACCACACAAGCAGCTTCGTCAAATTTGTTTCCCCAGATGTAGATGTACGAAAGGACAGGGTTTGTTTTCATGGCATCCGAAAGTGCCACCAATCCTGGTCCAGATATATTGTTGTATGTCACTGCTAGCCTAAGAAAAGGATATAAAGCAGAAAACAAAGTTTTGGAGTAAAGTTGACCAGCCTTGGCCTTTTTCAAACTTCATGAGAAAGTATCTGTATATTAGGTGCAACTTTGTTCTCCACCTTTAATCCACAAAGTCCATCTTGCTTTCTATCCCTTTTTACACATGACAGGATTTATGTCTCTAATCCACCTCCTGGTGCTAATTTCTCCTTTGTTTGATGATTAGGAACTACCTGGAAAATGTTACTTTCCATTTTCCTTAGGGCTTCTTACCTATGCTCTGATATCTGAGAGCAGAGGTCTTCATGCTGGCTGAGGAATTCTGGGAGTTGAAGTCCACAAGTCATAAAAGGGCCAAGTTTGAAGACCCCTGTCTTAGAGTTATGGATGAACCAGACCACTATGACTTTCAGCAAACCATAGCTAAAAAAACCATGACCTAAATGGACATATGAAAAGCTACATCAGTTATAGACCCAGGTATCAGCACGCTGAAGAGGGATTACAGGCAAATGAAATAAGCTGGGAAAAATTTTGGCACCAGGAGACTTAAGCTGTTCCACTAGCAGTAGTCATGCAGATTCAGATGGGTTCGATTTTGTTTGAAGTTTAATTTTGTTCAATTTTGTTGGAAGAAACTTGAAACAACCCACTTAATTTCTCATCCTAGGATCACAAAAGCAGACAGATACTTTGCCATGCAAAGTACTTATCTAAACCCAATCTTCATAAAATTGGTTATGGGCATGATTTTTAGGACCTTTTTTTTTTTAAAAAAAATCCATACGAAACAACGAACGCAATAGTCAAATATGCTGAATTTTTTTGATGTTAAAACATTTTAACAGAGCATTCTAAGTGTAGCTGTTGTGCTTCCAATAACGGAACAATATTTCCGTTTTTTTATTTGTTTCATTGCAGTTTTCAATACTCTGGTTTTATCACATCCAAATATCTAGGAATAAAAGTTTTTGAATACTAACGCTTGGAGGGTCCGATTATGTGTAGCAAGTGCGTCACTCAGGTAGAAAGCACCGTCATCTTCTATCCTGTTAAAATTAAGATCTACAATCTCAAGCGTGCTGTTTTGTTTTAATAGCCGTCCTAGAAACTTCATTCCATCTCGGCTAATTTTGTTACTGAAAAGAGATAAACATAAATATTCATTTTAAAAGAATGAATTGTGTTCCAGAGGAGGAATTGTATTGCAGTCCACAAAGGTTAATACTATAATGTACTCTGACACAATCAATAGTGAGAAGGCATTACAGAAAAAATATGCATGGTTGTTTCCTAAATAATACATACTGGCAATTAATGCTTTAATGCCATGTTGTATTATAGCAGTGATGGCGAACCTTTTAGAGACCGAGTGCCCAAGCTGCAACTTAAAACCCACTTATGTATCATCACGTGCTGGGTGGGCGTGGCCCATTGGGTGGGTGTGGCCCATTGGGTAGGTGTAGCTGCGGTGGTAACGGCAGACTGGGTGGGACTAAAAAGTTCAATCAATTCCAACTTTGAGAGATCTTTTTTTTCCCGCGAGAAGTTGAAATTGATTGATTGATTGAACCTTTTTTTTTTGCACATGGCAGCGGAGGCCTAAAGCGAAAAGGTTTTATAAAACCCAGGCCTAGGACTGGGGCGATGGCGCGTGTGCCCACAGAGAGGGCTCTGCGTGCCATCTGTGGCACGCGTGCCATAGGTTCGCCACCACAGCCCTAAAGGAATTAATAAAAAATGGAAAATAAGTGAGAAAGCAAACTGAAATATATGGAAATCTATAGAGAAGCATTGTACATTACAGCTAGTTGCTATGGGCCCGAGTGTTTTTATTTTAATGCTATTCTAACAAAGCAATGTGTATTGTTCAAGGCTCTCTTACCAGCTGAGATCAAGATATCGGAGGGTGCTATTGTCATACAAGGCATCACACAGACGTTCAATCCCAAAATTCTTCATTCCATGTTTACATAAATGCAATTCCACCAAGGTGCAGTTGACTTTCAGCATGGAAGCTATGTGGACAGTGGTTTCTTCCTGAAGTTCCATATTATTAAATTACATTTTGAACCTATTCCAGTTAGCAATAGCAACAGTACTTAGATTTATATAGCGCTTCACAGGGCCTTACAGCCCTCTCTAAGCAGTTTACAGAGTCAGCATATTCCCCCTACAATCTGGGTCCTCATTTTACCAACCTCGGAAGGATGGAAGGCTGAGTGAACCTTGAGCCCATCAGGATCGAACTGCTGGCAGTTGGCAGAGTTAGCCTACAATACTGCATTCTAACCATTGTGCCATCACGGCTCCTAATAGCAGTCTTCCCCAACCTGGTGCCTTCCAAGTGTGAGGAGGGGAGATACAGTATGTTAAAATAGGTTTCATCTGGATTTGGCTAGTGTAGATTCAAAATGCCAGGAAACTTGACATTATCTAAGATTTTTGTCCATATTTATAATTGTTACCATCCATTCTTCCCTGGGGGGAGGGAAATCAACTTAAATTTAGGGGCGTTTTCATGGCCATGTGTCATTGCTACTAAAACTACCCAGCATACTCACTTCTTCACTGTACAGAATTGGCCTGTTGAGATTTAAAGCTTTAATTGACTCATTGTGATTCAAAACAGTTGCCAAAGCTATTATGCTCTGCGTACCCTGAAAATAAAAAAATAACAAATCCAGAAAAAGCCAACTTAGCTCCACAGTCAACAATTAAATTAGTTTTATATTCTGTTCAAAACCTTAATGGCAGATCTTTGTTGGCTTTGTACTGTAAACATGGATGAATTATGTTTTTCTTTTTGACAAGTCTCTCAAATAATTTTGTTTTAACTTACTTACCAGGTCGCAGTCTGCAAAATCTAACTTCTGTATTGTGTTGTTGACCTGCATCATAGCTGCAAAATACATTCCTCCTTTATTTTCAATCTTGTTGCCTGTCATTCTTAAGTAACGCAGAGTGTCATTCCTCTAGAAGGAAAACTTCAGTTATTTCTTTGCAACAGTTTAATTCGGCCTTTCTCCATCTGGCACCTTCCAAAATCCCCCGCCCGCATGGCTATTTTCCAATCTTTTGCATATGCTACAACTTTAAGGTTCATAATTCCCACAGGGCAGCTTAAATATTTTAGCCCCACCCTAAGGCCGAGGAGAGACTGGTGTTATCCCTGATATTCTAAATTAGGGTTTTTCAATCTTAATTCATTTGCAATTTTAAGATGTGTGGAGGACTTCAATTCCCAGAATTCCTCAACCAACATGCATTCCGGGAGTTGAAGTCCGCACATCCTTCAAGGATGTTTGTCAAGGTTGAGAAACATTGTTCTATATCTTTGGAAACTTAGGCTTTTTTCTAAAGTCATTTAATTGCCATTAAGATGGGAAAAAAGCAAGTAATCATGGGAATGACTTGCCTCCAGAAGTTGTGGGTGCTCCAACACTGGAGGTTTTTAAGAAGAGATTGGACAACCATTTGTCTGAAATGGTATATATGGTCTCCTGCTTGAGTAGGAGATTGGACTAGAAGACCTCAAAGGTTCCTTCCAAATCAGTTATACTGTTACTACTGTTAATGCTTTATATTGTTGTTTTTTACAGTGTTTTAAGCCACCTAGAGTCACCTGATGACAGAATGGGTGGCACATAAACTGTGTTTGCATGTGTGAAGCAGCCTCCCTTGAAGCACTGAAGCAGAAAGACCTGGGCAGGTCATATACCTAAAGGCATTTTGTTAACACTGTACTTGCCTGTGTCCTTAGTGATACTTTTTCATTTGGATTCAGTTCTGGATTTTTACCCTCTAGCAAAGAATTAAGCAAAGAAAGAACTCAGCATCTGCCATTTAAGTGATAGTCTCCCTCTGCCTAAAGCAGGGTTGGGGAACTATGGCCCTTTTCCCACCTTTGGACTAAGGGCTGTTCCTGCACAGAGACTGTAACAAGACTGGATCCACTCTTCTCCCCGACTGTCTAGTTTGAATCCACCAAGTCAAAGACTTTACATCTCAATGTGCCATTCTCCCAAACTAATCCACACTTACATGCATTGCTTTAGCTATGAATTCAGCTCCAATGATACCAATGTCATTAAACATCAAATTGAGGTACAGCAGGGTCCGATTATCCTACAATACAAGGACATGGAGCGTGTTGCTAATGTGGTCTTCCATGGGTCGCTTTCATATACACACCTGCCAAAGATTGGTTTCCTTATGATGAATGCGCATTCCAGTTTCGTCTGTAGACCAACACTTGCAACACGTTGGCTGAGAGTTAGGACCCAACAGTTACATGGCTCCATGCAATCTCCCAACTCAGGTACAGATTTGTGCAGGATTTTTGCAACCATGTGACATCTGAGCTCTCTGTAGGTTACTCTGTTGATCGCTCCATTTAAATCAAGCTCCATGCCGCACCTCTAAATGACATAGGAGCATTCGATGACAGAAATAGCTTGGGGACTCACATAAGCTGCCTAAGGCCTGCAAGCCATTTCCTGGAATTCTCCTTCAACACAAAAGTAGTATTAGAGGTAGTCCTTGACTCACCATTCATTTAGCCACCATTTGATTTGTCAACAGCATTTGACTTACTTAAAGTGACATACAACCCTCATGTGATCAAAACTCAGGCAACTATGCTGCTTAGCAACAGAAATCCTAATCTTAATTGTGCTAATAAATCGAGGACTACCTAAACTAGGCTGGCCCAGTCTCATCTACAACCATCCGTAGCGGTGCTGGGTTTATGAATTCTAGAATTTCCACCCTTCAAGGAAAGACTGAGAGTTTAAATTGCAGCAGACATGTAGAGCAAATGCAATTCAAGCCCAAGAATTTCAAGGAGCAGGGATTTCTAGTCTGCTCCGTAGATACCTGAAGGAAAGCAGCAATGTTGACTGCGCCAGCGTCAGTTAAGAGATTATATCTCAGGTCCAGCCCTGAAAGAATCAAAGGATGCAGAAATGAATAGATGGTAGTTGTAATCTCTTTTATAGCAACACCTTAACAGTCCCCATCACCCCATTTGCTTTCTCTAACTGCAACATTCATTCATGAAGCCTAGTCTTGCCTTATTCCAAGACCTAATCTGAATGTTACACAGGATGGAAAGTGGGATTTAACAATGGTTGCACTCTCAACTCTTGTGCTTTTTTTGACATAACGGGGAAATCTCTATGGAGATTCTCATTCATCCAGGTCAGGGTTGGTCCCAGAGATGCTTTTATTTTAAAGGCAACTGGATATTCTGATTTTTATTTCAGACATTTCACTTCTCACCCAAGAATCTTTTTCAGTTCTGTGAAACTGAAAAATCAGAATGTCCACTTGCCCTTAAAATAAAAGCCACCTTTGAAATAAACAGAAAAATCTAAACTTCAAGTCTTCCTTCAATTATACCATCTGATTCTAGAGGCGCCCCTTTAAAGTATTAAATTAAAATAAGGAAACATACCTGTAAGAAACACATTGTTCATAAAGACAGATGCAAGGATTTGAAAATCGGAATCCGTCACTTTCTCTACAGGTACCAAGCGATTATTCCCAGCTATTTTAACTGTTATTCTTTTGGCCAACCTGTGATAACACAAACAGAAGCTCTTTCTGTTGCTGCTCTTTCATTTTATTTCACACTAATTAAAGGGGAGGTTTAAATATTTTTCATGGATTTGCAGAGAGTCCTCTTTCTCTTTCCTTGAGAGGAAAAAGATATTCGTAATCTGAAATGCATCCAGGCAGATGGATTTTTAAAAACTATCTACAAGTCTCACTTGATTTGCTCTAAGGTACATGATATCATGATGCAATCTCCCCTTGTCCTTGCCATCAGCAGTGCAGTAGATACTTTTTTTCAATTTAGGGAGCTTGTCTCAGTATTTCATGCATAGTATCTCAGTAATTTTATTGCTTTGGCAAGAAGGCAGAAAAGCTGTCTTATTGTGTCACAGGATTAGCTCATCTAGCCCAGATTTATCAGTCATTTGCAAGGTGCACCTTGGGTTTTAGGCAGATTTTCCCCTCTCACCCATCCTTAACAAGAGCAGAGATTGAACCAGGTATTCTCTGCAGGAAAACCCTGAGTTCTACCACTGAAGGATAACTTGTTCAGCATTATTCCCAGCTGGGCTGCAGAGATTTCATATCGAAGTTGCCTCTGGCTCTTTTTTATCATCATCATCGTCATCGTCATCGTTATCATCAAGTTGGAAGGGATCTTGGAAGTCATCTAGTCCAATCCCCTGGTCAGGCAGGAAACCCTATACTATTTCAGACAAATGGTTGTCCAATCTCTTCTTAAAAACTTCCAGTGTTGGAGCATTCACAACTTCTGGAGGCAAATTGTTCCACTGACTAATTGTTCTGTCAAGAAATTTCTCCTTAGCTCTAGGTTGCTTCTCTCTTTGATTAGTTTCCATCCATTGCCCTCTTCTATGTGGCAGCCCCTGAGATATTGGAACACTGCTAACATGTCACCCCTCAACCTTCATTAGATTAGACATACCCAAGACCTGGAGGAACATTGTCCATGGGGTCGCGATGGGTTGGACACGACTTCACAACTAACAACAAACACCCAATTCCAGCAATCGTTCCTTATGTGTTTTAGCCTCCGAGCCCCTAATCATCTTTGTTGCTCTTCTCTGTACTCTTTCTAGAGTCTCAACATCTTTTTTACATCGTGGTGACCAAAACTGGATGCAGTATTCCAAGTGTGGCCTTACCAAGGCATTGTAAAATGGTATTAACACTTCATGTGATCTTGATTCTATCCTTTTGTTAATGCAGCCTAGCACTGTGTTGGCTTTTTGGCAGCTGCAGCACACTGCTGGCTCATATTTAAGTGATTGTTCAGTAGGACTCCAAGATCCCTCTCACAGTTACTACTATTGAGCAAGGTACCACCTATACTATACCTGTACATTTGGTTTTTCTTGCCTAAATGTAGAACCTTACTTTTTTCACCATTGAATTTCATTCCGTTAGATAGTGCCCAATGTTCAAGTCTGTCAAGATCCTTCTGTATCTTAAGCTTTTTCATAGGAAGAATGAGCTATTCAGCTGAGCAATGCATACAACCTCAAAGGTCCAATGCTATAATTCCAAGCCAATTGCGTGCTTTGAAACATACAGGCAATTCTGCGTTGAACTACAGAACTATTGGACAAGTAATTCTACACGTCTCCTTCAATTTCCAGACTCTCACAATTTTCTTATGACTTTGCCAATAAATTTTGGGAGCAATACCGAATAAAGATCTCAACAATCTCACCAGTAGAACTTGGGAAATTCTGAGAAATCTCCGTTGGGAACTGGAGGCTAAAGTTTCTTAACCTTCCTCTGTGCTACCTCATTGCACAATATGAATACATAGAGACACATCCGCATACAGGTAATCCTCAACTTAGAACCATCATGGAGTCCAAAATTATGGTTCTAAGTCATGACAATCATCAGTCGAGGCACCCATGTGGTCAACCCAATTTTAAAACTTTTTCTGTGGCAGTCGTAAAGGGACTGCAGCTATCTTTAAGTGGACATGGTGGTCAATGCATTCTTAGGGCAATTTTTGCAAAACAAATATCATCGATCACATCAGGTGACTGTGGAAGACGGCAGCCAGTTGTAAAGGCAAATGCCCCAAATGCAGTCATGTGAGAGTAGGGGGTGTTGCTCTTAGAACTTTGGAACCAGATCATGAGTACCTTTGGGCAGGGGGAATCCCTCCCAACAGTTGCCAAGTGTCTAATCCAGGGGTCTGCAACCTTGACAACTTTAAGACTTGTGGATTTCAGCTCCCATAGCTGGCTGAGGAATTCTGGGAGCTGAAGTCCACAAGTCTTAAAGTTGTCAAGGTTGCAGACCCTTGGTCTAGTCATTAAGCAAGGACTAACTGTATTTTGTATCAGTACTGAAGCTTGCAGAATCCAGATTTTCCTGCTGCCAAATCATAGCTTTCGAAAACACACCAGGAATATTTAATGAGTTACTGCCTTAGTTTTACTAGGTTGCCTTACGCTTCATCATGGAGTTTCACTTCTCGGAGAATGCATTTTATGAATAGATTCACAGGTTGTTTTAGTTCTTTGCAGGTTTCAGAATATTGTTGATCCAGGCTCATGCATGCTAGCATGCTGGTCTAAAATGGAAGGGAAGATGAGGGAGAAAAAGTCACCGGCTCTATAGCATCTATGAAAAAAAGCATCATCATCATGTACAGAGACTCACAAGAAACCCTCAGCTGATTCTGGGAATACGTTTATGGAATCGTCCCACAAATTGGAAGGAACTGGCAGCAGCCGTGGTGCAGATACTGTCATGGTTCCGACAGATGAAACTCTTCAAAGAACTTCAAGGCATTGTTTACCTTAAAGAATCTTTATTTGAGAAGCACAGCATTGGCACTAACACAGGCGAAGCCAAAAACTGGATTTTCCTCCCCTGAGCACATAGTATCAAACCACAATTCCCTCCTCCAATTAACAGTCATAAATCACATTCTCCAATTAATTTGAAATGCAGGCTCTCCCTCCAGTTTTCCAGCCGGCCAATTCTTATCATCTCTTATTTCATTAACCTTGGTTCTCACACCAAGTCCAGTATTATTATGTCTATCTAAACTCTCATGCACATTCCTCCCCCCCCCAGCATCATCTAACTCTAAAAGTAAAATACAAGAAGAAAATGGTTGCATCTCTAACTGTTGTCAAAGCAAAAACATCCGATGTTAGCAGCGTTGACAGATACATTTGGCCTCTGGATAGGGTTGCCAGGTGTCCACTATTTGAGTGGACAGTCCACTTTTTTCACATTATGTTCACATTATTTTTTCACGTTATTTTTTTTCACAAAATAGTGGACATTTTTTTTATTCAAAAGCTTTATGATGAAATGGTACGTAATCTAAAGCTGTACAGTCTACTTTTTTTACTACTTAACCCCCCCCCCCCGCTTGTCCGCTATTTTTTGGAAGCAGACCTGGCAACCCTACCTCTGGAGACCAGTCCAGAGCCCACCATCCAGGAAGCTAAATTTCTCAAACTTGGTAACATGAAGATATGTGGACATCAATTGCTGGCTGGGGAATTCTGGGAATTTAAGGTCCCATTTGTCTTAATGTTACCAAATTTGAAACATTTCTCTAAACGATCACCTGGAAAAGAAGGAAATGGGAGTACAGGTAGTCCTCAACGTACGACAATTGAGCCCAAAATTTCTGTTGCTAAACGAGAGTCGTTAAGGGAGAAGTGCCCCCTTTTACGACCTCTCTTGCCACAGTTGTTAAGTAATGCACAGCAGTTGCTAAAGTTAGTAACATGTTATGTGAATCTGACCTCCCCTTTGGCTTTGCTTGTCAGAAGGTTGCAAAAGGTAGACTATATGACTCTAGGACACTACAGCCATCGTAAATATGAGTCAATGGCCAAGCATCTGAATTTTGATCACGTGACCATAGGGATGCTGCAATGGTCATAAGTATGAAAAACGGTCCTAAGCAGTGGTGGGATTCAGCCGGTTCACACCACTTCAGCAGAACCGGTAGCTAATTTTTTGTTACTCAGGCCCAGAATGGACTTCCGGAAGCAGCATCCATACGGAGAACCAGTTGTTCACATATTTGAATCCCCCCACTGGTCCTAAGTCACTTTTTTCAACTTCGAACGGTCACTAAACGAACTCTTGTAAGTCAAGGACTACCTGTGTAAAGGTAGTACTGGTACAGGGGCCCAATGTGAGCCTTTGGGATACCCTGACTACAGATGCTCACTTGAATATTTTTTTCTTCTAATTTCTAAAGGCCCATATATGTGGGCATTCTCAGGGTTACAGATGTTCATTTGACAACCGCGAGGCATATTTCCGAGTACACGACTACGAGAGGAGAGCATGAAATAGAGAGGGAGAGCCTTGCCGTGCAGTTCTAGCATCCTGGAGCAGAGACTAGCGCTTGCCTTAATAATAATAATAATAATAATAATAATAATAATAATAATAATAATAATAATAATAGTAAAGTTGGAAGGGACCTTGAAGGTCATCTAGTCCAACCCCCTGCTCAGGCAGGAAACCCTATACCATTTCGGACAAATGGCTGTCCAGTCTCTTCTTAAAAACTTCCAGTGTTGGAGCATTCACCGCTTCTGGAGGCAG